GGACCGGCTTCGACAAAAAGGCGAGGCTCGAGGTTTCCCATGAATGATTGGAAGCATCGATTGCATGCATTGGCAATGGAAGAACTGTCCTACTGCTTGGCAAGGAGAGTACGGGAATCGGAAGGGCCAAAAATGTATAATTTTGGAGGCCGTAGCTTCATTCGATTGTTGGGTTTGGCATGCCTTCTTCGGGATTGCCGGATCTCAGAATGACCTCAATGTCCTTGGTCAATCCCCAGTGTTCGACGAGATATTGCGAGGTCATTCCCCCCAGGTCACGTACCGAATCAACAATACCGTTTACTCTGGTACGAGGTATTTCTCCATGAATTTTGCTCCACATGTGATGAAACTTCATCTCATTGCCTGTGATAGGGTCATGACTAATGTTCATCCAAGATTGACACAACGCAATATCTTCATTCGTTGACCACGAGCCTCCGACTTCGACAGAAGATGCCATTCGTTTTTTTTATACAAATGGAAAGTAGTAGAAAAATGTGAGTGGAGAGTAAAAAATATTGGATGGAGAAGAAATTGTATGAAGATTTAGTGTGGAAAGTAAATAAAATGGTTAGGTATTTATAGAGAAAAAATACAGAATTTTTGGGTATTTTTTTAAAAGAATTTCAAAAAAATTTTGATTTTTTTTGCAAATTTTTTAGCCAAAAAAACGAGGACCGTCGGATTTCTGGAAAAAAAGCCATCCGAGAGTCCCTGTTGCGCCACGTGGCAAACGCCCGTTGGAGGCTGTCAGGTGGTGACGTCAGCGCTGGCGTCACGCTGACTCCAGCGCACAGAAGTCAAATTTTTTTACCGTTGGCGCGTGTAATTCACGCGCCAACGGTAAAAAAAATTTGAATTACCGTGCTCTGACGTCACCAGACTAGGGCTTCAGCCCGGGCAAGACTTGCCCTTGAGCTTCATCGGGCTCGTGGGACCCACCATGAAACCGGGCTAAAGGCCCTGCACTAGAGCCATCTCAGGCTCGCCAGGATAGCCTTTCACCCAATTTGGGTTGGGCGCTGGACTTGCTCTGAGGGAGGCAAAGTTTTCTTTTTGGACTTTAAAGCAAATAGTGAAAACTGAAAAGTTTAGTGACTTCTGTCCAATATATGGTACCCAAATAGGGTCTTACCAAGTTGAAAAACTGCTAATTTCAAAATGTAATCATGTAACTGCTTCAAAGAACTGGAACAATAAAGAAATACTAAGAAGAGGTTAGCTGACATCCTATTCCACAAAGGACCTATGTTCTTGGAAGAAATATAAGGAAATACTAAGAAGAGAAAAGCTAAATTGAACATGAACCATCATTGAAAATTTGAAAATGAAGAACAAGAAAAAAGGAAGAGAGAGAGAGAGAGAGAGAGGGCATCTTTAATGAAACTGTATCTAGAAGAATTGGAAAATGAAACTTTTTATCCACAAAATAAAATGTGTACCTTAAAGAAAGAAAGAAAGATGAGATGTTTTGGATGTGCAACATTTAAAGCAATAGATGTTTGGATGTAGATTATTAAGAATGCAGAACAAGAACAGCATTTGAAATGACAAAATTCTGAGCAAGAAAATTACATATACATATTCATCAGAATTTCAATCCAAACTCAGACACCAACAAAAAAAAAAAAAAAAAAGGAGATTCTCAATGCATACATAGATTCTTAGTACGCCGAAAGTTAATGGGAAGAGAGAAAAGAATAAAAATATATATACTTGTCAAAGGCAGAAAGAAACAAAGAAAAAAGACGAAGAAGCTAATGAGATTATTACCAAATATATTAACAAAAGAAGATGAGAGATGCTGATATAAAGTTGAAAAGAAGCAAATCAAAGTTCAAAACAAGACAAATCAAGTCACCTGAACAGAGGAAATGACCCAATAGGAGGAAGAAGACTTGAATTAAAGGATAAATAAACCTTCCACCCTTCATCACCATCCTCTTTTTCTTCTCTTTGGTGTCTTCTGCTGCTTCTCCTTTTCTCTTTGGTGGCTTCTGCTTCTTCTTCTGTTTGATAACTTTTTCTTCTTCTTCTTCTTCTCCTTCTCCAGTCTTGTTCTACCTTTTCTTTGGGTTGAAAGAAAGAGAAGCAAATATAACTTAAACTAGAGAAGCATCAATGATGCTGTTGAAAAGAAGGGGTCTTTGTACTCTTCGTCAATTGTCATGCACTTAAATATATATTACTTATAAGTACATCACACAGAGAGAGAGAGAGAGAGAGAGAGAGAGATGAGGTGTAGAGTAGTGTGTAGGGATGTGGAAGCAAGGGAGGGAGGGTTGGAAAAAGGAGGGAAAAGGTAGGGAAGAGAAGAAGGTTGACGAAAAAGTTAGAGGGGGGAGAATTGTTTGGAGTTTAAGTTGGGTCTGTGGGCTGGTAAGTGATGATTGTAATGATGGTGGTGATGTGTCCATTTTGCCTTTCTCTGTTTTTTTTTATCTGCCTCCCCTTCTTTTTCTGTCTGATAGGATTTAATCCGGTGACCATTAACCAACCACACTCCATGGCACGTGTCTTCCAAATTTTCATTTGAATTGATAAACATGGCATTCCATGATGCTAAATAATTAATCTGAACTGAATAAATTCTGAAAGATTTGACTATCAAATGAAGTAAATTAGCATGAAAAATAAGTGAACCCTAATTTGGATTAAAAATAAACCCTAATTGGGCAGCCCAACTTACCTGGTTTGAAGAGCACTTCCACCAGTTAGCCCTTTGCCATGGCAAGGGGAGCCCTAGGGCGGGTACTATTCACGTAAATAGTGCCTGCCCTAGGGCAAAAAAAAAATTGTGTTTCCAGCAATGCAAGGCTTGCCATGGCAAATACTATTCATTTTTTTGTTTTTTTCACAACTTTGTTTACTTAAACAATTAATTTGAATAATATTTTCGGATAAAATTTTTGGGTTCCTATGTGTCAATACTATTCATATCGGATCAGATTTTCGGTTTCAAATTTCAGATAAATTTCAAATTTCAGATACATTTCAAAATTCAAATTCCAGATAAATTTCAAATTTGACTTTCAGATACATTTCGCAATTCAACTTCCAGATAAATTACTAAATGTGAATTTCAAATTTCAGATAAGATTTTCACCTTCTAAAATTGTGCCACATGTCATCTTTATCTGTCTAAATTTTTCTATAAGATCAGAAGCTCAGCTCATACCTCCCACACCATATCTTCTCTACATCTTTATTTCTCAGATTTTAGATTTCATTTCTCAAATTTTAGATTTCATTCTCCATTCTCAATGGCAGACATGGAAGAGGTTTTGGAGAGGCAAGAGCAAGAAAGGCGAGCAAGAATGCGTAGAAGAGCTGCAAGTAAAAGGGCGCAGAGAGAACTAGATGAGCAACTTGGTGTGGCCATTGCTTTGCTGGAGGAAGAAAACCAGAGCCGCCGTGGTTCACGAGAAGGCCGGGCACCGAATGTGGACAGACATAGACATTCTCGGGGTAAGAATCTTATGGAAGATTATTTTATCCCACAATCTCTGTACTCTGATGTTCATTTTCGAGCAAGATATAGAATGCAACCCCATCTGTTCAATAAAGTCATGCATGATATTTGCAATTATGATGACTACTTTGTTCAAAAGAAAAATTGTGCTGGAGATTTGGGGCTGCTTCCCGAGCAAAAG